GCATAATTCTTAATTTGTTGTGATACATATTTGTATACAGTAAGTGATATATATTTATATATCTCATGTAGTAGCACCATGAGCAATGTGCTGGTAACAAGACCCATCTGATGGAGTCAGGTACCAATGAATGCATGCACTTATGTATATATTTCTCAACTCCTGTAAACCATGTTACAGTTTTCATTGGAACGATGTACCTGATGTATCTAATCCCTGTCAATATGAACAATCTATTGATAATATTGCACTAAGATAGGGTACTGCCTTTTCCTTTTGTAACCTATAAACTCCTTTTTATTAAAAATAACAAAATATTGTAGCAGAAATCATACACATGCAGAGCTAAAGAATCGTGATCAGATGGCACTTTGAATAATGCTGCTCCTCCACCCTACATTGTTATACCTGCTCTGAGACACTAGCACCAGCAAGCTGGGTACACCATAACTGCTACATTCTATGTATCAAAATAATAATGTATCAATGTGTCAGAAGCATCATGTCAGAGTGGGAATAATTACAATCTGTCTCTTGATCTCTTATCAGGTGACATGGCTACAGATCAGTGAGGCTGATTGCTCAGTACACACAGCAGATAAGGCAAGGCAGCCTGGCTCATCCATAGTGATAGGTGTGTTCCCTGTGCTTTCATTGAATCCGTTTTTTTCTGCATAGGAGACACACAGGCCTGGCATTGCTACAATCCGGCATCTACTGTCACTGCCACACGATATACCTTTAGCATAAGAAATGAGGAAGAACAAAAAAGGTCTACTGTTGTCATTGTTGTAACATTCCTTAGCGGTAAATGTATAAAAGCAAACCCATATATTATTCATACAGCCATATTTTCTGAATGCCAGAGTTTGGACTAATTTGTCTTCTGCTCGGGTTGAGAATTTTCCTTTCCCACAAGCTGGTTATAAATTGATGAGCTTTGGATGTTGTTTTTTCATCTTTGTAGCTATATAGGTGAGCAATAAAGAGACAGAATGGTCAGTGGGCTGTTTTTGTAGGGGGGTTTTCTGGTCTGTATCCACTGTGTCCTTTGACCTAGTATTTATATATCCTGATTCAACTGTTTAAGTTTGTTTTTTATGTTAAATCCTATGATTTGCACTGTCCTTTTTCACCAGGGTGACACCATTTTTTTTTTTAAATACCTGTTTTCACCGTTTTTCATTCTCCTCTACACTTACACTCCAGGGATGGTTGCATGACATTTCTTATGGCAGGTTTCCTGATGGTGAAAACAGTGGACCATGGCTGTGTAACAGGATTTAAAACTGTTTGCACACACATTACATAGGTATGGTCATTACAAGCCTCGTTTAGATGGGAGCCTGAGGGGCAATAAAATCGGTGGTTTTACCGATCCCTGGCTGCCTGCTGCAATGTTAGCATTGTGATCAGACAGTAATACTGTATACATTGCCATGGCCATGATGCTTTATGATTATACAGTATGTCACGTTTGGCAGGAGGTGCCATATGACATATGAAGCCATAGAGGTAATTGGGACCATGCCACAACCATGTGCCACACACTTGGCACACGGTTAACTTACAGTGCAGTAGTGCAATGAAAATCCCTTGGGTTCCACAAATCAGCATTCAGGAGGTGGATGTATTGCTTCCTGAACACCAGGCAACCACTACTCTACAGCCCTGTGAAAAGCGATCCACTGCAGATCCATTTTCACAGGGCGCTGGAGCCTGCTGTCCTTCTAAATGATTTTACAACCATCGCAAGACTAAAGTCTTGCGATGGTTGTAGAGTGTATGGCCACCTATAGAAATGCCATGCAGCCATTGTTGGAGTGCTGTTGTATCTACTTGAAGTCTTCATTGGGAGCTTGCGTGGCAGATGACAACACAGGAGAAGGGGGAACCATAGAGAACGCTTTGTCACCCTATTCTAGCACCTTTATAAAAGGGAGAAATCACAGAATACAATTTGCAGTTAACCCTAATCAGTTTTTTAACCTTAAAGTAACATTAAAGTCTAAGTTTTTTCCCCCTTCCCAATCCTGCTGTAGGTATCTTCTTCTTTACTGTCCTTTTCAGCTGTCCCTCCAGCTCTTGTGCGGGACTCCGACCCAGCGCTGACTCCTCTGTCCTCCACTTCTCTCATGTCCCACAGAGTCTGTGAGGGTGCACGCTGCTCCATATACTTACCTTGTGTCTCTCCTCGTCTCCCGGCCGAACATCTGAAGTGTTCGGACGGGAGCGTGCACCGAAGACACAGGCAAGTTTAAACCCTTTTTAACTGCCTCCGGGCTGGGCGTAGTAAAAAAACCGCCGGCCAGGAGCTCTCTAGATCTGAGCGGGCGTCTCTAGGCGTCCGCTCAGACACGCCCCCTTGCGCGCGCCGCCGGGCGCGCGTGAGCGGGAAATGGCCGCAATTTAAAAACGGGCATCATATCGCCGCGAACATCGCAGTGAGAGCAA